GCCGGCGCGGGCGGGGCCTGGCCCTCGCCGCCGGCCCGGGCCTCGCCGGCCGACCCCGCTCACGCGCGCCCCGGCCCCGCAGGTCGGTCCGAGGCCTCCTCCCCGCCCTGCTCCCGCGGCCGGCGCGGCGGGCATGCGGGCGCGGCCCGCGCGCGCGTGAGAGGATGGGGACGCAGGGCAGCCCGGTCAAGAGCTACGACTACCTGCTCAAGTTCCTGCTGGTGGGCGACAGCGACGTGGGCAAGGGCGAGATCCTGGAGAGCCTGCAGGACGGCGCGGCCGAGTCCCCGTACGCCTACAGCAACGGTAAGGCCGCGGCGCGGGGTCGCCGCCCTCCCTGCCGCCCGCGCGCGTCTGCGGGGCGCGTGCCCCCAAGCCGGGGTTGTCTGGCGGGGGCCGGAGCCCGGGGCGGGGCGGGGCGGGGGCGGGGGCGGGGGCGGGGGCGGGGGCGGCTGGGCCCAGAGCTCGCAGTCCGCGTGCCCGGGCCGGGTCAGCCCGGGGCCTTTACCGAGACGATCGGCTCCACAGTGGGCCCCGGGGTCCAGCAGCGCAGCGCCGCGTGGGCACCCGCCATCCCAGCCCCGGAGGGTGCGTGAGAGTGGGGGTGTTGCGGAGCCCGGGGAGGATGTCCCCGAGGGCCAGCGTCCAGCGGCGGCGGCCCCAGCGCGGACGGCCGGCGTTAGGGGCAGGCCGAGTGGAGAAGCTGGGACAGGTGTGCCAGGTGTGGCCGGGGCTTTCCCGTGACCCCGTGGTGTCTGCGCGCAGACGGGGTTCCTCCGAGCCAGACTGTCCCCCGGGACGTGACCCGGTGCTCTGTGGAAGGAGACGCCCACCCTTTCGTTCGTGGTATCGTTAAAGCCGCAGCTAATGCAGTCCCGGCGCTCAGCTTGCCACTTTACATCTTTCCCTTAAAATAACAGCTGAGGCGCGCGGGAATCAGTGTGGTCAGTACTGCCTTGTGATGGGGCCCTGTGCCCAGCCACGTGGAGGCTGCTTCGAGGGGGAGCAGGAAATCTGCAGAGAGCATGACAGCAGCTCAGTGTTCGCAGGGACCTTCATCTAATTTTACTTCTTCGGGCCTTTGTTCTCCACACCCTTTGTTACTTTGTTTCTTGGATTCTTGTCAGTCCTGTCTGACTGCTCCCAGCATCTGCAGTTGGCTGAGTTGTTGCTTATAGGCAGCTGACTGTGTGGACCGGCTTCTCCGACCCTTTCATTTTAGGGCTGGTCCAGGTTGTTGGATCACCTGCACTGGCGAGACGCCCTTCCTGCTGGAGCAGCTTCGGCCATAGGCAGCTGTGCTGGATTTGCACGGGGCCGCCTCCTGAGCCCTGAACTCTCAGCCCCACCTTAGAGGAGACGGCAAGAAGTGGGGGGGGGCAGGATTTTTTAGGGGAGGGGGAGCCTCCACTGCGTCCTCAACAGGCCCCTTCATCCGTTACTGCCACCTCAGTGGATGCTGGGCAGTGACGGTCAGAGGTGTCTGTCCTGCCTCAGACAGTGAGTGATTGAGCTGCTTTTCCAGTGGTGGCATCGCTTCCTGGAGCCTTCGTCCTGGGTGGCTGGTGGCATGGGTTTAGAAGAGCCTGGGCAGGCCAGACCTTGTCTGGGGCAGTGGTGGTTTCCTGGAACGTTGCTACACGTTTCTGAGGGTCAGGTGGGCCAGTGGGGTGCAGCGAACTCTCAGGGAACGCAGAGCCCCTGGAGAGATGGGGCCGACCCCCTGTGCTTTCTCTCGGGTGGTGATGTTTGCCACGGTTCCTGTGACACATTGACTGAGCTGGGGCCGGTAGTGAGGAAAACTCACTAAGTGGTGACCTGCCTGAGGCAGCGGAGCTGTCAGTCACAGTGAGCTGGTCCAGCGCGATGGCCATCTGCCAGAGGTGGTGAGTGGAGGTGCACTCACGGGTCCCTGTCATCACCCCGGCATCGAGCGGAAAGGGCAGAGTGCCACCCTGGGTCTAGGCTCCTTGAGGTTAAGATGTGCGTGGCATGAGGGGGGCTGCGTATGGTCGGGGTTGAGCTCGCTGACCCAGCGGCCAGGGCTCTCTACCGGGGGAAGCCGGCAGCTGTGTGAGCGCTTGCTTCTGTCCCTCTGGAGGCTTCCTGAGGGAGAGTCTTGAGGGCTTTGGAAGCTCTGGGGCAGCTGGTTCTCAGGATTCCCCATCGCGTGAGTTGTAAATTTCTGATTCTCTTACGAAGGATATACTTGCAGTTCTCCTTCCTCTTCATTGTGACAAGCCCTCAGCACGTTTCCAGGCTTGTTTTCTGCCTGGCCTTCCAGGGGTCTCACAGGAGCAGATGACCCGTGGCAGGGAAATCCCCACTCGGTGAAGGACATGCAATCGAACTCTTCTCCTCGGGCCGGCCTGCTTACTCACCTGTGGCCGAGGCTCGTCTAGCTCGTTCTTTAGACACGTCCGTTGGCACGCATCGTCTTCCCTGCTCTGCAAACACACGAGTCATTGAACGGCCTTTTCTCTGCCTGACACCGGAGCAGTGACAGCCGCTTGTGACCGTGTGCCCACACCCGGGGCAGCCTGCAGCAGGCCCTGGGTGTCTGGTAACGCTAGTGTGCGCTGTGTTCACAGGTCTCTGTAGATCTGGAAGCCTTCCTTTCAGGAGGTTTGAGTTTTCTCTTTTCGGGATACACGGCAGTGGTTCAGAGGAGGCCCCTGCTCTCCTGGGGAGGCAACAGGACGCTGTGCACGGAGGTTGCGCCTGGGCCATCTGCGGGGGTGTCAGGGAGTCCTGGTTGTGAAAGCCGGCAGCAAGGAGGTGCCCGTGCTTTGTGAGGAGCTGGTACCCCGGAGGGCATCCCTAGGTCACCCGCCCTGGGGTGGTGGGCAGTGTGTCTGTGCTGGCCCCAAGGCAGCATGCTGGGTACTCCTGGATACTCCCAGGAGCCCAGGAAGTGTCCTGCTACGGTGCACAGGCCTGTTCCCACTTTTTGGGGGGTAGTGAACATTTAGGGCAGTGACACGCTGAGCACCTTGGTTCCCACAGACCTTCACGTTGAGGAGAATTATGCCGTGGTTGATAGACCTGCGTCCCAGAAGACTCCAGAGTGAACGCGAGTCCATTTCTCCCTGTCTGCTCTTCTGGGGTCCATGTGGGTGGGAGCTGCTGAGTGTACTCTGAGCCCAGCGTCTGGGGGGCGGGGAAGGTAGGAGGAGTGTGGTGTTTGTGACAGGTATGGACAAAACCAGGCAAGCAGGATGTCTCTGTGAGTGTCTGGGGCCTGCTGGCTGTTGATGTTTGTAGGACCAAACAGCGCCTGCCGTGCCCGCGTGGGACCGGTCCAGAGCGTGGCTTCAGCCCACTTCAGCAACCCGATGGCTGGGCCGTTGGTCACCATGTCCCCCCATGGTTTTTCACGGGACGGTTCCGGCCAGCTGGAAGTTGGTTTCTATCCTCAGTGCCAACCCAAGGAGAAACTGCCTCTCTAGATGCCCCACTGTGCTGTTTTCCTGAGTCAGGACGGTCTCCGGACAGTATGCCTGTGGCATCTCGTCTGCTGTTTTGTCCCCAGTGTTGGCATGAGATGTACGCCCCGGAGGTAGTAACTGGTGTGTGTCCCAGAGGAGCGAGCAGCCTGTGTGCGGCGTCACTGTGTTGACAGAAACCTGGTGTTGGTCGCCGGGTCACTGGACAACCCTTTGTCGTCCCTTTTCTTCCTCTGTGTGTGGTTGGTGCTTGTCTTTGGACTCTGGCCATTTTTCTGGACGATTTACTGGGATTCGCCTTTCTTCTGTCAGATGCCAGGTTCCAAAGAGGGATACTGGCCTAGAGTATGACGTGAGCCCGGCAGGGTCACAGTACTGGGCTCCCCCAGTGCTCTTGCCATCCTCTAGTCCTCTCTGCCATTCTGTGACGGAGGCACTGTCAGTGCCGCGTTTGGCATGTGAGGAGCCGAGGCTCGGATGAGCTGAGAGTGCGGCTGCTGTGGGCAGCATACGGCCCGACGCCCATCGTCTCCCCAGACACTGGTTGCAGGACCCCTTCCCCTGGGCCTTGGCAGCTGGTCACTGAGTTCCTGGTCGACGCTTCTCTCCAGGCTTTGTCAGTCAGAGTCTGGCCACTGGGCACCTGGTGCTGATTGGCAGGGGTGACCCACTTCTCACCACAGACCCTCCCCAGTCCTGGGGCTGCCTCCTCCCTCTGCTCTGGGGCCTGGGACAGTCACTGAGGCCCATTTGTTCTCCCTCCACTGAGCTGCTCCAGCCCTGCCTGGCTCCCTCCTGGCCGCGACCAGCAGAGCAGAGCCCAGACAGCTCCCAGGGTTAGCTGCTGACCCAGGCAGCCAACCCCGAGTTTCCAGAGAAGTTTCGCGAAGGCCACAGAGTGCCACGTATACAACTGTCCGCGCGGGGCTGGATTCCTAGCACCCCATTGGCCAGGGTGTTCACCTGCTGTGTGTGTGGCGTAAAGATCGGCCTCCCCCAATCTGACCGGGAGGCAGGCGGGGAGATGCAAACTTTATGCCTGCTTCAGATGAAGCTCCTTAGGCTGGTTGGCCATTTGGGGTGGCATGGCCCTGCCCAAGTTGTCCTAGAGTAGGCAGTTACAGCGTCTGAAGCTTGAGCAGGCTCCATAAGCTCGGGCGGGCAGAGAACAGAGGCCTCAGTGGCCGGCACAGGGCCACGCCAAGTGGCCTCTCTACCCGGGCTGTGCTGTGTCACGGTCCCATTCGCAAGAGTGTGGCTCGCTGGATGAAGTAAACAGAAGTGTGTTTCAGGAAGGAGACCCCAGCAGGGACCCAAGGAAGTAGGTGGGCAGGGGGCATCGCGTACTTCACCTCCTGCTGTATCTGACCTGTCCCTGGTCTGGGGCCCGCGGCCAGTGAGGAGGGGGAGGAGAAGGCAGAGGATGGATTTGGAGCAGCCTAGGCAGTGGGCGGCACTGGTGGGGGTGTCACGGGGTCTGGGGCCCGCGGCCAGTGAGGAGGGGCAGGAGAAGGCAGAGGATGGAGTTGGAGCAGGCCTAGGCAGTGGGCGGCACTGGTGGGGGTGTTGTGGGGTCTGGGGCCGCACGGCTCAGGGTATTGCCGTCTGCCATTTGGAGAAAGTCGGGTAAGGTGTCTGTGTCCAGCGCCCAGGCTTGGAGCAAGGTGGCCCACGGGTTGGGTTTGGTGCCCTGGGCATGCAGGGGAAGGAGACTGGGAGTGGGAGACTGGGAAGACTGGGTGTATGGGGTCACCCTTTGGATGGGGGGACATGGGACCCTTAAATCCTTTGGGAATGAGAGTAAATACAAGGGAGCATGAGGTGTAACGAGGTTTGCTTCTCATGGTTGTGCTCCTGTAG